TTTTTATTGGTATTGGGGTTAAAATTTTTTTTAATCTAAAAAAAAAAAAAAAAAAAAAAAAATCATGAAAATCATCTTATCTTTTGGTGTTCGTTTGGCTTTGTTTTACATAAAAATTGTCAATTAAAGGGAAATATTTTTTTACGATAATTCTTAGAATTTGTTTTCATTGTCAACAACAAAAAAAAAAGTTAAAAAAATGCTACAGTAAACCGAAAAATGAATTCTCACCATTTTGGTGAGAATTCAAATTCCTCCAAAACATGGAAAATGTCCATGTGGCATGAAAATGTGGAATTCATTTTCCATGGTAAATTTCACCTATCAAACACATGAAAAGTTGGAAAATGGTATCGATTTTCCATTTTCCATGTAAAATGTGGGTCTATCAAACAAGGCCTAAATGATTCTGCCATCTTGTTTCCCATGTTTCAGAAGGCCCGTCTAAACTTCTTATAGGATATTGTTTTATTGGTCCTTATACTACTGCAACCACATAATTCTATAAACAGCTAATGGATAAACTGTAAATTTACTGACTCTCAAACTATAAAGGAACATTTTTCATCGGTATTGTTGTGGTTGACAAGTTATCTGATCGTTTCTGCTGAACCGTCTTTATATACCCCCTTGAGTTATTAAATACAAGTTACTAAATGTATGGGATAGTGAGGCATAATAATCATTTTTTTTTTTTTAATTCAAAACATCAGCATAGTCTTAGTGGACTTTCAGGCGCCACCAGGGAGTGCCTGCTTATTGTGGTTCCCTTGAAAATTCAATTGGATTTCTGGGGTAGAGCTGTATCAGAGATTCAGAATTGATCTGAAAAGTTGGGTTGAAGTATCATCATCATTGCAGTCACTGTTGTTGTCCATTATGAGTTGACGATGGTTGTCTTTTTGTGCTTAATACATATTATTCATTGTAAAGTCGTATATATTATGTGCGTACCAATATATGTATGCACGAGCACACTAAGGATGATAATTGTACATAAAACTATTACTTAAAATTTGAAGACTGTTGATAATGGTGCCGGGTTTGATAAATTTTGAAGCATTACATACCAGTCAATTTCCTCTTCTCGAAAATTTAATATCTTTAATATTTGATCTGTGCAGGCATACCCATTTGATATAAAATGGGATATTGCTTATGCTGATCCAACACGACCTCTGGTTGTCGATGTTGGGAGCGGTAAGTTTTACATGACTGTCCTGATATTTTTCCTGAATATAGTATTAGTTTCCTAGGTTAGTATTGATGTATAAAACTGGTTGTGTATTCACCCTGCATCAATATTTCATTCATCAATTGCCTGTTTACGATGAGGGTCGCTTCACGCAACAGAAAAGGGGGAACCATCTTTCCTGATTTCAATCTTAAACAATCGGAAGGCTGGGAAACTGTTTATCTAAGCATACATATCATGGTCTAATTACCAATCTCTAGAGTCTCAAAGTTTCATTTCATATGCGTCATTTTCAAGCTGTCAATTGTTCTTCATCAATGCAAAGACTTTACAAGTAGGTTTCTTTATGTACACATGATTATTGTTCCAGCACTAGATTCCATTTGGCCCAAAAAGTTCCTAGAATTCCTAATCAGCTCATGCAATCCACAAATTTTACTGTAATATTTTATTCTTTGATCCTTACTAACTGCAAATCTTTTTCAATCTGGTGCTCAGGGTTTCTCTGTCCAAAGATTTAAAAAAGGATACTTCTCCTATATCAGTTCTTTTTTCATACCCTGCTACATATAATTCATATTTGAGTTGCAATTCTTTTTTTATTTTGCATCATTGCTCAAAAGATGCCAGAGAATGAGGAAATAGTATCTCCACAATCGCCTTTACTCTCCAGTGCTAAAAGTTTGATTCAATGTCTCTCTCATGTTCTCTCGTGTATAGTATGATCGAGGATTTCTTCAACCAAGCAAAAAAGCACGCCTTGCAAAGTGGCTGGAGGGAATTTACCTGCTCTTCAAAGAACAGATGACAATTTATCAGAAAAGCAATCTAATGGGATTTAATACCTCCTCTTAAATTAGGGATTTTATATCACATAACCCCGTCGATAGCAAGAAGCTATACTAATGTGCTTATATTTTTCTATGTGGTTTTCACTTTTTTTATGCAGTGGAAATCAAGAAAATTGCTAGCATTTTTGCTTTTAATATAAGTATTTTTGTAGTTTCCATGATGCGATCACGAGTGACTAGACGGCTAAGCCAACATATCACTTTTTATTACAGTTGGTTCAACTTGTGGAATGCTTCTTTTATGGGGACAATCGAATTCAAATTCTTAATGACGTTATTTTGGAATTGATACCAAGTCGATACTTGGATTAATTTGCAGACTTTATTTAGCCCTGTTTGGTAGGAATTAAAATCTAGATTTTAATATAAGTCAAACTCAACAGTTAATTTTAACCACATATTTCATGTAATCACAATTCTTCAACTATACATTTCATCAACTTCTATTAAAAATCTGATTTTTCTTCGCGCGGAACAGGGGCTTAGTAAGTTCTTACGCTTCCTAGACTCGGAAGTCTGGTCTTACTGATCTAAGCTGACATTTACACTACCTGAGAAAATGTGGGCATTGGACATGTTTNAAAAAACAAAAAAGTTATAATTACTTTTGAATACCATTGATTTTGTCGTCTCAATGCATGCACGGCTGTAACTTCAATTTTATGTCCTTTTCTTGTGCTACACTGCAAGTCCAAGCTGTCATATATGTGGACTGATTGCTGCTCCTGCACCATCATCACCAAAAGAGAGAAGAAAAGAGAGGAACACTGAAAAAAGAAATAAAAGAGAAGAAACCTTTTTCTACATGGAAATTGGATAAAGCTCGATGATATAAGTAATTCTGCATGTCAGTTAATGTGTATGATCTCTTTCTAGGTATTTCTCTTGTCCTCCCAAGTGGTAATTTTGTATCTAGTAAACACCGTAGAACTTCACCCTTGGACATTGTTTGATTGAAAACGAGATGCCAACAACTATTTAAACTACAAAATTGTCCATAACCTTTTCTAAATTTGGGATTGTACTCTGTCCATAACGTATGATATCCAACCCTGAATTGGTGGAGAGGGAATTGCTCACTAGATCTGGACGTGTCTTTTACTTTAGTGAGAAGCTCTTACTATTATTATTTGTGGGTCTTGTAGGTACTTCATTACAACAAATGCAACGTCAACATTTCGCTCCATAGTTTCCAGTTACCCTGGAGATTTGTTTCTGGTATCGATACAGGTAATACAAGTGTGTATACTCCACCAAAGACTTCTATAAATACTCTATGAGTACTATAAACATGCGAGAGAGGACTTGTAGAAAGCAGACTCACATACATTGTTGAATTGGATAGTTCATGTAATAATTGGGCTTTTCAATTCTTGGATAATATTCATATGTACGTCTGTCAAGGTAAGAATACATGTATGTTGCACGGGGCATTGATAGAGATTTGAGTTGCCTTCACAATCCTCCTGTGATTGCGTTCATTTTTTATGTTTCTTTCAAGCCCTTTACTCAAGACTGAGGTGTAGGCATTTCTTCTATGCCATATTGATATATTCTGCCTTTCCATGATATGATCATGTCAACTGGTCGCATAGGAATACTGTTTTTTACTGAAGCAAAATTTCTTTTAAATGCAGTGTCCAAATCCTGACTTCAACAAGCCAGAACACCGTTGGAGAATGCTGCAGAGGTCATTAGTTGAAGCAATTGCAGATTTGCTTATATTTGGTGGAAAGGTAAGTTGCCACTACCCTTTGGTGACTAATGTTTTTCTTTTGGAAACTGGACACAATTTTGGTCTCTTTGTGGATATTCGGTTTTTGATTATTACATCATATGGTGGAACTGAAATTGATATTTCAATCTGTCTCAGATTTAGTGAAGTTAGAACGTGCAACTTTTGAACTGAGAAGGAAATTTTTTTTTTTTTTTT